TGGCAAGATGTAGTATTAGAGTCAATGACAAATCGAAGGAAAGACATAATTCTTATTAAATTCATCCATTTACGCACCCAGCAAGAAGAGATATCGTTTGAGGCAAAGATCAGTTTCGACGTTGCTTAGGTCGTGTCAGCACATCCAGCAGGACTTCGAAGTGAAAGTTCGTGAAATTTTGTTGTAGACCCGAGATAAAATGACAAACGAAGATATTATTTATTTAAATTGATGCCGTTTCGACGTCACCTCACCTCACCGTCTCTTCAGCACCCCCAGCTGGACTCAAGGCCGAGCAGATGCGACATTCAAGAAGAATCAGGCCAAAAGAAACCTTCATCTTTATGATGAAAAATGTTTGTGATTTTAGCTGACATTAAATGGGATTCGATTATTTCAGCAATTCTCGATGTGTCACTGAATTATTGCAAGTAGCCATTTTCGGTCGCCAAACGGATAGCGTGTCTAAATAGTACCATTTATGTCATGTGAAAATGCTGGAATTTCACCAGAAATCAAGTCAGGTATAACGAGAATATGTGGAAACATCCAATGATGGCTAAACCTCGAGGTGCTATGGGGTTCGACTCTTGGATCGGCCATTTTCTCCTCAAACCCGATGAAGAGAAGACCTCGCCAGCGCAAAATGAGTTCAGCCTAAATTATATAATTTGTATTGAAATGCAATGATTGAAGAAAAAGCAGAATAAATGCCAAATGCACTGTCGAACTTTCCTCTCACGTTCTACTAACAGCCTCACCTAATCAGTTCCAATAATGCTGGCAATCCATCACAACTAACACTACGTCTTCCCTTTTGACGTCGAGACAAAGAAGAGGAAACTGCCAACACACGCTGTTGTGAATGCAACCACATCCTCGATCACAGTTACAAGAATAAAGCTATAGCTTGGCCTGAAGATGATCCTGAACACACTAAGTATACCGACTTGACAGCCATTATTGGTTGCCCGATTGCTGTGATTCCTCCTCCTCCCATTCTCTCTTTCTCTCTTTCTCTCCTTCTCTCTCTGTCTGTCTGTCTGTCTTTTGGCCAAGAAACTTTTCAATGAATGATATACAATAGGACATCTTTGTCACAAAGTTATCCACCAAAACGACTATATGTGGACAACATGTGTTTATCTGTGCTTTCGTATGTATGTGTGTGTCTGCTTCAAAGTGTACCAAAAGGTAAGAAATCAACAAGGATACAGGGCGTTTGCTCTCGACCCTGAAGGTTAAATGACCCCTTTTTACTTTTTTATATTAACATATATTTTATTTATTTATATTTATAATTATTAAACCCGATTGCCTAATTTAAAGTGTGACCGTACTCACAATCATACTCAAGCCAGACGTGACGGCCAATGTTGCCCGATGGTTTGTTGCTATCCCTTCTCTTCCGGTCAGGTAGTATGCTCCTCTGTACGGTCTATTTTCAACCAACCTCGTAGCCGAGGCAACGGTTATATGCTGAACGGTCATCTTGGCCGCAGCACAATTGGTACAGGTGTTGGTGTGTTGGGAAAATGGCCTCGGATTGGCTTCTTCTGGGACACCTTCAATGCAGCCATTTCCGTCTGCGATGAAACGATGCAAGGAGGGTTGAAAAACGCTGACAACCACGTTTCTATCAGTTTTACCAAAATGTCGTCTTGCCAATGAATGTCAATCAGCTCTGATGCCCATAACTTTACAAGCATGCACTCTTG